GTTTCAACCTGGAGCCTGCCTCCATCTTCTCGATGACCCCCTCCTAGGTACAGAAGGTTGCTCTGAGGTGTCCCCAGACCTTTCCTTCTCCAGGCTGAAGGAGCCTTGGTCTCTAGATCTCTCCTTGCAGGGCAAGTGCTCCAGCCCTGGTGGCCCTGCCCTAGCCTGGGTTGCCATCAACACCACCTTTGTGTAGTCCAAGAGCTTGCTTAAATATGTAACTAATCAATATATCCTGTTTTGTGAACTCTATTAATAATACTTCTAAATCAAAAAATTGAATGGTAGCACATTTTAGCATTTCCTAAACAGTTTAATGAAAAGTTTCTACACCCATCAACATCATCCTTGTAGTTCCAGTTGCGTCTTAAAATAAGAAGTGACTGAAATTTAAAATAAAGGTACATARCATGAAACAGAAGGTTCATAGGAGAGCTATTATCTAAATAACAGCTTTCCACATTGCCAATGGATTTCAATGAGAAATATATTCCAACTGCTCTTACGGGTAAAACAACTGCATTTTATAAGGAAATTATTCAAATTAGAAATTTTATCTGGAGATATATTTTTATAAAAAAATCTTTCTGCGCAGAGTAATAATTATTTTTTAAATGCTGCCTTGCTGAACATCTACTATGTCATGAAAAATATTTCAAAAATTCATTAAAGAAATTGTTAAAAATCTTTAAACCCAAGTGACTAAAATTTGGTTCTTGAATGTAACTGTAGACAGCTCCATAACAGTGTTTTCATTTGAAGGAGTTGTGAATATCTCTAAATCTTCCTGGAAGCTCTGGGAGTCTCAGGTGCTGTTACTGAGTTGCACAGGTAGGAATTCAGGGGCCCTTACACACTCAGATTTACACTGGACCACCTTGTTAAACTAATTGCCCTGTAACAGCATCTAGCTGTTATCAAACTCTGAAGTTCCTTCTCAGTTTTCCAACACATTAGTGCTTTTCAATCCCATGGCAAAGTTGAACAAATCCATTTAAAGATTAAGAGATCAAAACAATGTACCTATAAATTACAAAAAAACCCTAGACACACATTGCAGTTTTATCTTGAAATCAGTCTCTAAGTTGAACATTGTGACTCTTGCCTTGTTTTCAGGTTGGATTTCTACACTATGTGATAGTTTTATTGACCACATTGTTTAAGAATAATGAAGCCATGAATTACACAGATTTGCCCATATGAGTGTTAGAAGAATCTGGCCACTGTCCATTATGTATTTATGTTTATATTTATATATATATATAATCAAATTGTTTATTTGTAGGAACTATTTTTTCTCTACACCTAGCAGCAAAATGCACACTGCTATAATGGGGCAGACAGGCTTTGGAGTTACACAGATATCAAGCAAAAAATGTAATTGCTTTATCTTCAGTGAGTTATGAATTTAAAATCTGATATCTTGTGAACCTCTTGGTCTATGTACAAATGTTATGCTTTACCAAAAAGCAAGGAATCCCGGTTCTTCAAAGAGATAAGATACAGATGTTTCTAGTGCTGGTGATTCATTGGATAGTAAAATGTCACTGCCTAGAATACAGCACTGCATATTGAAATTTAATTTCACCTGATTCCCATTTGGAAAGAAAGAAGGAAACATTTTTATGTCATAAAAAAAGAAATGGCAGCTGTTTGAAATTTGCTGAGGGGTTTGGAATGTAGTWTTAGTCGAGGTGTATCAGCAGGCAGAAAGCAAGCAAAGACGTAAAAGGTGCAAAGGAGATCCATTATATCACTCTTGAGTCTGTCTTATGAACACTGCTATCAGGAATGCATTCTAGTGTGATCAAAATTGTGTATATTTGCTAGTAGGTATTGCACAGGCTAATACATTGGGGAACTAGGGCTTTAGAGGCAATATTCCTATTGTTCAAATGTCTAAAACTGGGGCTTTTGGAATTAAACTGATTTTACCTAAGTTCCCCAATATGGGTCTCTGCTTTCAGACATACACATTTCAGTCCGCATTACTGGGCCTGACTCTTCAGTGTCAGTCAGTGCATTTGTGATTGTAGTTCTGAAGCCCGAGACTCAATACCAGGTAGATACCACTAAGGGCGGACTAAGATTGCCAGAAATGTGATTTACAGCAGTGGGCTTGTTGATCAAGGGAAATACACATGCCAGCCAATAGAAAACACTGGAAGGAGAGAAAATTCTGAATTTCTGATTTCTCTTCTGGATTTCAGTGCTTGTACATGATGTTTTCAGAGCTGCAAACCACACACCTGCCYTTAGGCCTCCAGACATCTCTGTTCCTTCATTTAAACAACATCCGGCGGTTTGGTGTTGTAGGATAGCCTATTAGTTATACAGGAAGCAGAAAGAAAATAAGACAGAAAATGCTGTCTTCGGAAAGAGAGAACTAACTTTCACATTTCCACTTCCCAGGAAGATGCAAACCTAGAAGAAAGGGAAGAAAAAAGTGCAACCTCTCCTGTTGTAACTATGACTCAGTTCAAGGAGAAATGTAAGATTTAGAATCTTGATTTAAGCAGAAGGTTAAGCATGATTTCATAGCTCAAGGATGGAGGCACTTGCATGCTGGGGGAAGGAGAAGAAGAGACAACCTGGATGCTGGCCCCTGCTTCAAGCATTCTTTATGTATGTTACTCAATTACAAATGCAAAATGTGTAGGCAGCCCCTGGGGCAAGAACCCAAGACTTCCTCTTCAAAAGGAGCACCTATTAGGGTTGCAAATTATCCTCTCTCAATGAATCTTGCTTCCTCTCTGGTAGAGAAGCATGGCTGCAGCAAGTGAGCTGGACTGTTCTCCAGCCGGAGCTTCACCTTGGACTGGTGGAAGCTGCTCTTCTGAGAGATGTGGGAATGATCTCCCCAGGAAGAGGCTGGCAATGAACCTGAACTTCATGAACAAGTGTCTTATCTACAAGTATGCTAATATGCAAAATGTTGGCAGTCGAGCTACCACCACCTCTGGACACGTTTCTAGGAGAAAGTTTCTGGGCTGTTRCGCTTCATGATGAGGCTGGTGTATGAGGCTGGTGTGCTCCCATGTCTGGCTCTCTGGAGATGCTCCAGCTGTTTATCACAGCCAGGCTTTGGTACAAGGTAGTTTTCAAGACTTTCAACTGCACAAAAATATAAGAAGTAATGGGATAATACAGTTGCAGAACTTTTTTTTTTTTTTTAAGAGCAAAAACCTGATGCAATTTTTGTGGCTTTTTTTCACAAACAGATATATGCCTAAATACTCCTTACTGGCATTTTTATGCTTTTTTTGAATTTGGCTCTTTCTCAAAGTTATTTTGTGAAGCAATGGTAGGACACAAAATTAGAACCCAGAAATCCTGCTCTGCTACAGTTGCTCTGTAAGACATGTAAATATATTTACAATTAAAAATAGACTTGAATGTTGACATTTTGTTGGAAATGAAGTAGCTGGCACCTATCTGAATTTGAGGAAAACCTCCTCTGATATTCTGYACATCTATAAACATTTCATCTCAGTTTCATTGTCATGCATTTATTAATTCCTTAGGAGATTGCTTGAGAGGTTCCTTTTCCATCCCTGTATTCTCCCAACCCCGCTTCCCTTTTCTGCTCAGTTCTATTGCCCACAGGTGACTAAAATTCTGCTCACCTTGCTCCTCTTATTACGCACTTCCTTCCAAAGAGTTTACTAGTCTGAACTAAGCAACAGGAGGGTGTAGGTTAGAGTTTTTTTGGCAGTATTTTGAATACAATATTATAAATGCAGTCCTGTAGTTTTTATGTATTTATTCATAAATGAATAAGTTATATTTGCTTTGGATAATGCTAAGCAATCCATATCAAATTAGAGATTATAGGAAAAAATATACAGAGCACTGTAGCGGGAAGAGACTTTAAATGTGTTTTGTATTTAAAAGAAATGGGTAAGTCAACTTCAGCTCTCAGGCTTCAATTCAGAGAAGTACTTAAAAACTATTGAATAAAGTGCTTAAGTACGTTTTTAAGTTGTATGTAGTACAATAAGGAATTTGCAAATTGGGGCCTTGTTTGGCAGAAGAGAATAGACCAAAGAGCATAAAACAGAACTTTTGTCTCCACTGTGCTCTTGGCTATTACCATTCCTCCTGGTTCTCTGCTCTTATAAATATTCTTCTCAGTTCATTGTGTCAGAAACTTGAAGCTTGCTTTGATRAGCGAATATTGGTTCAATAAGCTAAATCTTGGAGTTCAGCTCCTTTGAGGAGAGAGTCCTCTCCATGAGGCAACAAGTGCTTTGATTACCCACTTGTCTGCTCTGGTGACTGCTAGCACTTGGGCAACRAGGCCAGCTTTTGTTTTTTTCTGTTGATCATTGAAAATGATAGTACAATTTCAACAGAGTACTGCAGTAACATCTGGAGGTTAGCCAAAATGCAAATGTATACTCCAAACCTCCCTGAGGATACAAACTAAGTGTCCAATAAATTACAAACTTTTTACACAGGGGAGGGAGGGGAGACAGGAATGTTGTCCCTCTTCTCATTGACCAGTTTACTCGGGTTTAAAATTATGTAACACTAAAAAAAAATGAAGACATTGATCCTGCCCGAAAAGACAACTTTCCTGGGATCAATCTCATCTGAAAGCTTTGGTCATAAGCGATGTGTTTTTTATGTCATAAACAAGCCTTCTTTCCTCTATCAGTATCTCTTCTCTACACTAGAAGGTCAGAACCCTTTAAAATCAAAAYCAGAGGACCACATGTAGGGAAAATTCCATTTTTTATTTTTTCACTCATCATTTATTTACAAATACACATTATAACTTTTATATACATTGCACATTTACATGGTAGAAAAGTACAAAACTATATATTTAAATGAATTTATATTTAACTCGCCATGTTTGAAAATATAAAATTGCATCAGAAAAAAAGTATTATGAAAAGCAAGAAACTTGAACTGATAAAGCTTTGATATAACTTTTAGTGACACACTAATTGAAAAGCAAAACTTTGAGAGTGGTACTGCAAGACCATCTTAAAGGAAACACGTGATAACACATTTATGCATCTTACAAAAAAAAATAAAACAATAAAATAGAAACTTTATTCTTATTACAGTTAGCCATGTAGCTATTAACAACCTTCATAATCCGATTTCTTTGGGTCCGGAATTCTTATAGTACAGTATATATGCTCAGCACACTGAGATCACTTCAGTACATGATGTGATCAGAAGTAGAGAAAAGTGAAGTGGAAGAAGTTTCCTTAAAGATCGCCTCACTGCACCTTGGAAGCATATTTAAGTCAGTTGCAACGCCTTTTGGTCAGTCAAGATTCCTTGTAAACAAAAACCCGAGGGATCTTTTATGTACAGAACCGGCAAGAAGAAAATCCAATAAATAAACATAACAGAAACCGACATGCAAGTTTGTTAAAGTGGAAAGGAGTTAACATCAGTGAAACAAAGAGATGAAATCATGTGGGTAAGCTCTAAGGAATGGACTTTTATAGTTTACAAGAAAAAAAAAAAGAAAAGCTTTACTTTACAAGCAAGAGACCTCACAATAAATAACACTGCTCTTCCCGTAACGAATAAATTTCTTCAAAAAACAAGGTGTACAGTCAACCAGACATTTTATGTATAAATTATAAAACATGACACAGTATAAATAAATGTCTACGAGACTCAACTATATGTATACTTTTTTTTTTCTCCCCAAAATAAATAAGCATACACTTATTTACAGTATGGACATTGATTTCGTGCCCAATGGCTGTTCCAATAGTGATGGAGGTTTTACCACTCTAGAATGGAAGATATAGGAAAGCTGTAGTCCTGGTCTTCATCTTCCTCTTCTTCCTCTGGGTCTTCATTAATGGCTAGATGGGGGAATACAGGGGAGCTGTTGTTTAAATAAGGACAACAACAGCGCAGAAGCAGCTCAGTGCATGTTTTCAAAGCCCTCTGAACAGCCATAATACAGCGTTGCATTTTATGCGACTTGTAGTGAGATGCTCTTTGGCATCTGCTGTTATGCAATAAGGTTTTTTTTATACATAATCTATGAAGTCATAACTGCAGAAAGTTCTGAAGAATCAATGGCTCAGGTTTTATTGGCAGATTCCTGAAATCAAATAAAAAGCGCTCTTGTGTTCTAGGTTTAACTGCTTGGTGCCCTTCATTCAGAGTTAGTAGAGGCAACTGTGCTAAACCAGATGCCCATGTGCTACCATTAAGCTCATTCTGTTGGACAGAGTTAGAGTTTATCCGAGTGTTAATAAAGCAATCAGCGAAGCACACGAGAGCAAACAAATTAGGAAAAAAATCACTAGAATTATGCTCCTAGGGCAACCCCTTTCTGATCAAGTGGCTTTTCCTTAAAACATCCCCAAAACCCCAAGCTGAAAGCCAACCAATTGCTGGAGATCTACTGCATTTTATCAGTAACCAAAGGGTGTGCGTGATACATACATACTTATATTGCATACGTTGCATATCYTGAATATCTAAATCAAGCCTTTTTAGATTTTATTTTTTAAAGGCATACGTCTTTGTTACCTAGGGATTGCCTTCAGAAGCCTGCGGAGCTAACAGTGTCACTTACAGTTGCAGGATCCGGAGTGCTTCACCTCGAGCAGCACGCCCATGGAGCAGGCCGCCTCCTTCATGGCGCACTCGCTGGGGTAGGTCGTGTTGTCGCTGGCGCACACCGCCTCGTCCGACTTGCTCTCGGGGCACAGCTCATCACAGAGGGCGCATCGGCCTCTGCCAACCTTGAAATCCCACAAGCATTTCTTCCCAGCGCTGCACTGAATATCTTCACAGGATTTGGCTTCTGAAAATACACACACAGTACTAGAGGTAAGTGAAAAGACAAGGGAAAAAAGCAAAGCAGCAACAATTTCAGGCTCCTTTTCCTCCATGAACTGAGGAGACACAGCTCCGAGGCAGTAGATGCCATGATACCTGCTGGTTTTACTCAAGCCAGGAGCTCTTGGGAAGCACTGCCTGCCTTTGTGTGGGAGAGGGAATCAAGTCGTGCCAGGAGAGCCTGGCCCTGGGAATACAGGATTGCATTTGCATATGGTGCAYGTCCTTCCCTGCTTGGGCTGATAATCCCAGGAGACTCAGCTCCTCACAATGTTGGTGCTGAGAGCAGAATTTACTAACACATTCAGCATTTCTAAATCATTTATTCTCAAACCAAACCCCACAGAGTAATTATCTGCAAGGTTAGAAAATGAATTTACCTCAACCTTAGCCAACTAAAAGCACTCCAAGATTTCCCAGAGCCTCCTCCAGCAGTTTTGGGGAGTGGGGGCCTTCCTGGAGGTGCTTCCCTGCGACACCCAGACTTCAGTCCCATTCTTTTCTGGGAAGCTAAGTCACAATATAAAATGTCAGGATGMGCAGAGATGCACCAACTGTCTCCAAACTCTGCAGTATTTTTAAAGAGGAAAAAGTGATCAGATGTTTCCAATTAAGTTAAAGCGAGCTCTGCCAAGACCACTTGAAGACAATTGTTTCCAGGAATCCAGGTCCACTGAATATCGAGGCCTTGTTACACTGTAACCATGTCATCATCTATTTAACGGTGTGGGTACTTCTCCCTTGGATATTAATGCCAGCACCCACCCACACTGATAGCAAGAGAGGCAGGAACGGGGCCTCTGCTGCTCCGCAAGCTTTGCTGGAGCGGAGYTGCCCCTGTCTCCTGGAGGAGACACAAGCCCAGGCCGTGGGAAATCTTCATCCCATGTCCAGCCACAACCTACATCCATCTGATCCCACAAGCAATATTCCAAAATGACCGAGCCAAGAAGCTCTCCCCACTCTTACCCTCCAACGGAGATACCTACTGATGCATTTCCCTTCGTAGGCTAATCCAATGGAGCGGCCCAGGAGGCAGGTGGCTTTCCTCAGGTGGCAGGCGCTGGCGTAGGTTATGCCATCATTCCCGCAGAGATACTGTTCGGGGGAGGTAGGCTCCGGGCAGATGCGATTACACGTCACGCAGTAGGCGTTATTAGTCTGATCAACCACACAGGTGGAGCTGCCCGGACATAAAACATCCCTACAGGTCTCTGAAATAAAGATGGAAATATGTGGTGGTTAATAGGAGATCCCGGAGCCCAAGCGAGGAGTGAATGAGTGACATAATGAGACAAGTGATCAGATAAGAGCCTGCAGCAGATTTTGTAACGCCAAAAAGGCCATTGGAGGAAACCTTCCCATCTTGGGGTAGCCAGTAGGACACAAGTGCTGCTAGACCATGTGGAGGTCTCACTCCAGCTACGTTCTTTCCTCTTGAGCGTGGTTTAGTTATTGTCTCCCAGCACTTGGAACATCGCTCTGGTTACTGCAGGGAAGTACGTCAGCTCCTCCTCCCTACACTCAGACACACACCCTTTGGCATTTGAGGGAGATCGGATTAGATTTGCAAACCTACTTTTGCATTTGCCCTGATACTGGACTTCAAGTTCGGGCTGTTCTTTACATCTGGCTTTGAGAAGGGCACACTCGTTCCTGTAGGTTTTCCCATCTAAGCCACACACGGGGCCCTTCCAAGTGATATTAGAGCAATCCGGAGCACAAACACACCGAGGTTTGTTCTTCTTGTTCATTTTACATTTCTTCCCGGGTCCACAGTCCACATTCTCACATGTTTCTGATGGAAGGAAAGAGGCACCGCTTTAGTATGGAGTGTGCGGATCAGACTTCCTGTCAAAACTGCTTGCAAAAAAAAAAAAAAAAAAAAAAAAAAAAAAGCCACTGCAACTCCAGGGTATAAAGAGAAGACACCTTTTCCCCCAAGCAGGAGACAGAACTTGAGGAGGACTCTCCTCCCCAGGGAGGGCAGAGGAGAGAGGAACTCTGCCCTTCACAGCCCTGATGTGCAAGTGGCCACGTGAAGTCCCCCCTCGCTGGTCCCAGGGCTGCTACAAGATGCGCCAGCTTCCATACACTCCTCCTCCTCCTCCTTACGCCAGTCCCTGGGTGGCCTGATCCTGAGGGCAACGCAGCCCACAGGCTCTCCCCCCGCCTCACCTTTGCATGGGATGCAGTTTGGGGCTCCCCCATTAAAAATCATCCACTTAAAAAGCGTGTTGTCGTTGACGTCTTCCTCTGTCCACGAGGTGGTCAGGCGCCCCGTCTTGCAGCACTCCTCCTTGCTGAGATCAGTTTTGTAGAGGACCTGGCAGCGGCCGTTCTTCGCCTGCCGGAGCCAGCAATTCCCAGCTGCGGGGGGGGCAGGGGGCGAGCGGGAGGGAGACACACAGCCATATCAGTGTCACTTACCAGTGACCCAGACACAACACGTGCGCCTTGCATTGACTTTTACTAGACTGTTTACTTTTATTTGTCCCATTTCATAACCTGCAGCTACACTGGCCCACTTGGGAGCGCAGTTGCAGGAAAAAAAAAAAAAGCCTCCTCCTGCCCCCCCCGCACTAACAATAACACTGGACTGCTTTTCAGCAGGTTGGCAGTCCTCTCTGTTGTATGGTAACATCAGTCTTGGCTTAAGGAATAATGTTGTTTTGTTCCCCCACGTACACTATACATACATATTTTAATGTGTATGCCATTCTATTATTTTAGGAGAAAAACACTCCCAATCAATGTGATCTGCCACAAATCTTCCTTTATAAACCCCCCCCCCCCCCCCAAAAAAAAAAAACTGATCAAAACAGGACAAGGCAGTTTGCTTAGGTATTTATTCCATATGTAGAGCAGAAGGAACGCCGCCTGCACGTGACAGAGGCTTGAAAAGGATGTGCATTTAAAAGGGAATAAAAAGAAAATCGCGCTTGCAAATTCCTTCTCCTCCCCCTGCACTCCCCTCCGCACAGCGGCTGCACAGCAGCATTGTTTTAGTGTCGCACACAGTCCCAGTCCCGGCCCATTTTGCAATCTGCACGAATTGGGAACATTTGCTGTGAGCAAAGTCTTTCGAAATCTCCACATTTTGCTGCTTCGACTAACAAATGTCTTTCCCTTACTAAAATAAGTTAGCAGAGGTCCAACCAGAGTGAGCAAAGGACCCAGAATGCCATGGCACAGAGACTAGCACGGCTACAGAGTTTTTAAAAATGGTCAAACTGGAAAAGTTATAGGTATTGTCTCTCCTGTAAGCAATTCCGARGAAAGTACCCTGTCCTTAAACCGGATAGAGGGCTTTTCTGCTCTCCCTCTCTCTCTCTCTCTCTCTTTTTTTTTACTAGTATCCCTGTTATTTGTGGAGTCAAGCCAAGAACATTAGTCCAAGCAACTCCCCCTTTTTTAGCTGGAGAGTTTTGGTTGGGATGAGTCTCCCGTGAATAACCAATGTGACTTCTCCAGCAACTCAATACCAATTGATTCTGGTGCTAATCCAGTGAGGGCTCGATCCTGCCTCCTTACTCCGGTGGGCATTTACTGCAATGAGGGGTCAGGATCAGCCATCTGAGATGGTGCTGGGCACAGGAAAACATCATCCCCCCTCCCGCTCCAAATCACAGAACAAACAACGCCCTTTTAAAAAAAGTTTTGTGTTTTACAGTTGCCTATGTTACAGTAACTTAAGCTCTGCTCGGTGCAAAAAAAGGAAGAAGAAAAAAAAAAAGATAAGCAATGGTAAGATATCCATGTTATGGCTGGAACACAGTCAAGATAAGGGGGAAAAAATCCCCAAACTAAAAATCAATATTCCCTTGTGTCGAAAGAGGGCTCTTAAGAGTTGTCAATACCAGGTTTGGGTTTGTTTTGTTTGCATGAAAAAAAAAAAAAAAAAGAAAAAGAACTTATTTAATCAGACTCTTCAGTGCGGAAGAATTTACTACATAGTAACATTATTCATCAAAAAGAGGAGGGCGGGGGGGAGAAAATCCCAGTATTAGAGGAATGTCCGGAAAATGACCACTATTGCTTTCTGAAAATGTCAGCTGTAATAGTGGGGCTCCCCATCACCACTTCTCCTTCCGTCAGGCAGGCGAGATAAAAATCGCAGCTAAATTACCAGCAAACTTTGAGCACTCACTCGAAATCCGACACTAGGAAAGTTCCCTGGCGATGCTGCCGCTCATTCATGCTGCATAATAACAGCAAATACCGAGAAACATCCTCGTCTGTCCCCTGTGCGAAGCCCCGAGCAGAAGGGAGCCTAAGTGACACCTCGGCACAGAGCAGCCCCGTGCCCCCAGCTAACTTCACTCCTGTTGCACCTTGGAGAGGGGCGCCTGAGCGCCGCAGCCCCAAAGCCGGGGGAAAAAAAAAAAAAAAAAAAAAAAAGAAGAAGAAAAAAAAAGGAAAAATATATATGTAGAAGGTATAGGGGAATAAGCAGCGCGCTCTTACCCTGCACCGTGTGGTCGTCCATGCAGTGGCAGAGGAGCAGGAGGAGCAGGAGCAGGGCGGGCTGGCCTCTCCGCTGTGCCATGCTGAGCGTGGCGGGGAGCGGGCGCGGGGGGAGAGGCAGAGGAGCCGCCGCCGCCGCCGCGCTAGTCAATGAACGTCAGGCGCCGAATGCAGCCTCGCCTTAAATCTATACGGGGGTCTTAGCTGTCTGCGGTGGGCGGTCTCCGAGTGTGTGTGTGTGTCTGCTCGGGGGTGGGGAGATTTAAAAAGTTCAGCGTGAATCAGGTGACATTTTCCACCTTCTGGGAGCCCGCTCCAATTAGGCGCTCTAGGTGCGCGCACGCAGAGAGGCGCGCACAGGGGCGCACCGGGCGCGCACCCCCCCCCCCCCCCCCTTCCCCGCGCCGGCCCCGGGCCCGCCCCGCGCCGCGCAGCCGCCAGAGCCGCCTGCGCGGAGCGGCCGCGAGCGCGGAGCCGCCCGCGCGCGGAGGAGGCGCCCGCGGGGGTCCCGGCGCGGGGGGCGCCCCTTTGCGCCCCCTCCCCGCCATCCTCGGGGCGCAGGGAGGGTGCGGGGGAAGGGAGCCCGCCCGCCTGCTCCGCGGCTGGTAATAAATCCCGCAAATAGATCCCGCACCTCCGGCGGCGGGAGGCGGCCGCACATCCCGCTCGGCGGGACTTGTCTGAGAGGGGCAAAAAAAAAAGAAAGAAAAAAAAAAAGACACCAAAAAAACCTCAACCAAGAACACCAACCCCGAACCAAGTAAAAGAAAAAAAATCCACCCCAAACAAATAAAAGTTGAATACCTAGGGTATGCCCGAGTGACAGCCTGTTCACTGGGAGCCCGGGAGGACGAGACGGGAATGGGGGCGACGTAGGCGGTCTCCTTTCAGAATCAGAGAAGATTGCAACATCGATAATGAACTTCTAGGGCACTAGTTTATTAAGCACAGTCTGGCATTATTCTCCCCTTAGAAAAGTTGGCGGTCTCTCATTTATAACATTTTTTGGCACCGCTGAATGAAACTGAGTAGGCGATATTTCCTTTTATACAAAACGATTACTTAACGGAAAATGGTATTGTTTATTCAAAAGCTGCCTTTTTAATTTCGATTCTTTCGCTTTTCTGAGCCACCAAAGCACAACAGACTGCGAAGTATGCAGACAGGAATTCCCGGACACCGCCGGGTCAGGGCACGGTGCGCGCAGC